GGCAGGAAGCTGTGGCTTGTGACTGAAGGAGTATGGAGAGATAGGACAAACTGTGTTTCATGATGCTGTATGTGGGCTGGAAGCCAGGCATCCACAGGCAGACTGACAGTCATAAATAGGCTGAGACAAATATAAAGGACAGAAAGACCTGGGAGTGATCTTGATAAAGATGGTAACTTGTGCTTTAAGTAAAAGAGGGTAAGAAGTGAAGGGTATACAGAAAGGGTAAAACAAATCCTCCAAAGGCAGTGCTGAAAAATGGGAGGATCATAAGTCAATGTTGTCACAAAAAAAGCAAGCAAGACAAGACTTCAATGAGAGAAATCTGACCATATGATTTTCAAGATGTCAACTAGCCACTAAGAATAATGACTGAGTCTTGTTTCTAGCACTTGAGACACTTGAGATGTGGGTGAAAACTTTTCAGCTGCAAGACACAAACTGCACTGTAGAACATGCAATTTTAGGAAAATTTAGATAGCAAATGTAAAAAGTGTATTGACTGAGTCTGGAGCTGAATGAGTAAGATGTGTAACTTCTATAAATGCAAGTATATACAGACTTATCATCAAAGGGACAAAGGCTCCCTACATTGCCAGTTCTTATGGGAAGTCAGTGAACTCTGCCTAATCACTCCCTCTTGCTCTGAAATCTCCCTAATGAACATTCTAATTGCATGGATATGACAAGTCAACTGTCATTAGTGGTACTTCCCATCTCTCGAGTCCTCCAAATACAGTACGTAATTGGTAACATCTGCTGTAGACCCATACATATATTTGACAAAAGTGCAGCTCAACATTTCCTTTGGCAATTCAGTTTGCTTTTTTTCTGCCTTATTCTTCTGCTGGTCCTGCTCCTCTTCAATTAAGGGAGCAGATCCTGGCCATATTACACCACTGAAGGAAAACATGACTTCTTTCACTGATTGCCCCTCAAGTGAGTGATCCTATTACTGCTCTTCCTAACTGTCTCAAAAGCATAATACAACCTTTTCTGGGGCAGGATCTCACTTTTTTTAAAAGTCTCCATGCAGCTTACCTGTCTCAGCCAGCCTGACTGTGAGGAAGTCTATTCTTAGGATTGTAGATACCATTGTGCCAAGACACAGCAGGAAAACAACTGTATGTCCCATAGTATTATTTGTTGCTATTTTCAATTCGCCTGTTATTTGCAATTTTGATGCTTGTCTGTTTTGCTCAAAATAATGATGATGAAGTTTTTTAGGACCCAGTACAAATTAGAAAGAAAGAGAGCATCCATGTCACAGTGCTATGTTACATGGGAAGTTATCATATCATTTGGTCAAAACTGAATGCAAGCATATCTGATACTGAAATATTTTGAACTGAGTTTGAATTATGTGTCAAAGAAAAAAAAAAAATCATTGATTCTCTGGCTGCCCACCAAAAGTAGAGTTCTTGACAGAGTTCATTTTCATATATACCCGAGCTCCTGCCTTTCAGTGTTTCAGAACCTGTGTTCACCTTTCATGACTTTTAAGCTGTAGGCTGATTTCCTTACATAGAAGTGAGTCTGGAATATTCAACTCTTCAAATGAAAATCACCCAGAAACTAATTAAAAATAAGACTTTTTTTCTTTCGTACACAGGTACAAGTTCTTGTGGTAAGACCAAATACCTGTTGTGATCAGACCAAATGAATTACAGTTCTTCTGGAGCCCTGGGAAGATGCTTTTCCCCACCCTCTCCTCCTCCCTTTATACTAACTGTATTAAACAGCTGTTGGTCCACTTTCACAGATATATGGTAATGGGCATATGCTGGTTTATGGAGACAGGCTGGATGCCTGACAAAATGACCCAAATCTGGTCCTTGCAATAGGGCTGCTGAAAACACTGTTGTAACCTGGACTGAAAGTCAGATTTACCAGTGGAAATGTAAATGGTTTCCTGCCTTTCAGTTATTGCAACATATCTAGTGCTACTGTATGAGTGAATGTGAATTGAAAGTGGCTCAGCAAAAGCCTGCTGGATTGAGCATGAACTGCAAGGGACTGACCGACTGTTAAAGACATAGCAATGTGCTAAACTGGAGAATTAAAACCTGTCTCTTTCCCTATTATCAGAATGTGTTTAGGTGTTTTTGTTTAATTGTGTCTGTTTTCTTTTTCATGCTTTGTCATAATATGAGAATGTGGACACAAGTCTTTCACTTAATGTAAGTTACAAATAATGATTGTAAATAAGGAAGCTTTAAATTGGTTCATCCTTGTGACTTGATACATTAAAACCTTGAGCCTCAAGAAGAGGATAAGGAAACTCCATGGTCAGCAAAGAGATGGCGAATACCCTCAAAGCAATACATACAGACTGATCCTGATAACTGCAAGAGATTTCGGTGGCAGAAACTGGATGCCGGATCACATTGCTCCAGGTGTGAGTGGCAGCTAAAACAATGTTAGAACTGAGATCTCTCAATTCTGTTTATGTCAGGGACCCTTTTCTCCTTCAAACAATAAGTTACTGTTTCCCTGAATAGCTCCTAGGAAAGGTATTTTGAGTATCACCCTTTTTTTTGGTTATACTTCCGGTTAAATATAAACAGACATCTTAAGAGACTGCTGGTATGAAAGCAGTGGGAGGGATTTTTTGCACAGCTAGGCCCAGTAACACCAGGGGTAATCAATTTCAAAATTCATGTGAAACACAAAACAACACTGCTTAATTATTTCTTACTAGGTAGGCTCTAACTTGGCAGAGTCCCAAAACCTACACTGTGTGAAGTTTTCTGAGCTCTTGGGCTTTGTAGCATTAGCCATAGCCATCATCAGGTTCTTCTAACTGGATGAGGGTTAATATAATATTTGAGAAAGGCTGTTTTGACACAACTGTTTCCAGTTAGAGAGTAGATGTTGAATTTAATTGTCTGGGCTCCAAGAGATTTTGCCAGAGGCTGAAATATTGAGGCAGAGCACAAAGCTTTTTCCCTAATTCTGAACAAGGTGATCACAAAACTAGGGCTTGATCCAGTTCACCCAACTTGAGCCTTCTAACTGACATGGCTAAGCAGGACACAAGTTGAGTTGTCCTGGCCAGCTCTGTTGTTCATGGAGAGAGAAGAGCATATCTAGAACTACTCTTTATCATGTGAATTACATTTTCCCTCTGGAAAAGACTCAGTCTGGCTGAAGAGTCCCAGAGCAGGTACATTCACATCTTAGGCTAAGTTAGCAATTGGCTGAAGCTCTGGTAGTGCTTGTGAACTAATGTCTGAGCTGCTCTTATGAAATGCTTGCAGGGCCAACAATGATGATCTGAACTTCAGGAGACACTGTCTTAGGTTCTGGCAATAAGAAGCTTGGATTTGTTTCCTTTTAATTGGACTTCGCGCTCTGCAAACGTACATGAAAGATACTGCCCCTATTCCACATAATATCGTAACTCTACAAAAGACCACAGGTAAAAGAGGAAAAAAGATACAAGGCCACACATGAAACCTACACAGTGGTGACAAATACATGGTGTATTTGTGCAGTACCTGGAGTGGGGAAGGTAAGGAAGCCACAGCTAAAACAGAAGCTTGTGGCTGAAGGAAGAGACAGACAGAAGAGCAGGAAAGAAGAGGAGAGCAGGGAACACAACAGAGAAGCAGCTAAGAATCAAGATTTTTGACTTTAGCCAGTAAATACGTATTTCTCCCACCCACATCTGGAATAATATGAATTTTGGATTGAGAACTGCATTCTTTACTTGCCTAAGACTCCCAGTAAAAGTGTCTTTTGCTCAAGGAATGCAGGATCTAGTGTCTCAGCTGTATGACTTCCTCATGTAGTTGGCAATATTCACTGCATTGAAAGTCAAACTGTTTTTTCATTTCAGGCAGCATCTTTTTAAATAAAACACTTTCCCTCCACATTTCCATTGCATGTACTTTTTAAAAAACTTTATTTCAGTCAGAATATAAGAGCAGTTCCAGGAAGCTGGAGATTCTGGATCAAACCTAACTTGACCTGTAGAGCTGAAATGTCCATCAGGCTTACTAAAGTTCCTAAAATAGAAATGTGCTTTTATTTCGGTTCATGTTGCTGATCTGTGAAGGCTTCCTATCAAACTAAATGGTGTCTTCACTTTGCAGACTACCAGTGAGAAAAGAGTGAGAAAAACAAAATTGTAGTCATCAAAATTGCTTATTTTCCATTTAATGATTTTGTTTGCGTGTGTATAAATGTTTAGTAAAAGGAAAGCTATCTTCTCATCTCACAAAATATGAAGAAGTATTCCATTATAATATTTGTATTCTAGTTACCCTATATTTTGGAAATTGAAGCTATGTATATCACATTGTTTGATGGAATTTGTACTTCTGAGACAAAGGTAAAGAAATTAATAGCGTCATTTAACCTGATGGTGGAGCAACACAGGGAAGACTGGTTTTGTCGACTATAGAAGGATGATGTAATTGCTGCAGAAGGAGGATTTACCTGCACTACATGACTTGTGGAGGATTTTCTGTGCTGACAGGTGAAAGAAGAGTTAGCTTAGGAAAGCATACTCTACTCTGCTTCAAGTATTCAAGAGGGAATGTTAAAACTAGTCAATAAGATACAATTTGCAGGACAAATGGGTAAAGGAACTAGCCCTAATAGTTGCTTTTTTTCAGGGAACAAAGGCTGTAGAAGTTCAAGATAGAGATTACACCCTACAATAATGCCCAGTGCACAGTCCAAGTTAGTAAAAAATGTCATGGACTGTAAGTTAGTGCAGATGTGTATCCAGCTGCTTTTGCCAAACCTCATCTGTCCCAGATGCAAGATTTTATATTTGTCTTTGTTGAACTTCATGCATCAAGCATCTGTTGTTCCACTTCTCCAGCCTGCTGAAGTGCCCCTTAAATGCTAGCCTGTGTGCAGGAATGTGGAAGGGTGCCCAAGCATGCTGCTTGCTCAGGTTGAGGGACAGCCTCTGCCACCATCCTATCCTGCATCTGCTTTCCCATTATCTACCACTAATCTGTCAGCACACTTGCCAGTTTTCTTCCAGCTTAGGTCTGGTGGAACTACTTCATCCTTCAGTAACCTAGTTTAAAGCTCTCCTTATGAGACTGGCAAGCCTGTTGGCAAGGACATCCATGCCTCATTTTGTTAGGTGAATCCTCTCTGCACCCAACAGTCATCATTCATCAAAAAGCCTGCAGGAACCTGGAAGTGTCTGAAAAAATACCTTGACATTAATAGCATACAAGTGTCCATGCTGATCTTTAGCCAGTGTCCCTCCTAACAGTCACTACCTAGAGGGTAGCAAGTGAAGAGTTGCTGCACTGGGTAATCGGTTATTTTTTTTCAACTGATTCCCACTGTTCCATTCCCTCTTCCTGCAATGTAAATGAACTGCTTGTGATCAACAGATCATGAAGATATCCACTTACCTTATTCCTTTTCACATTAATCTTCATGTTAGATGCCAGTCAAATGTAATTTATATTCATTAAATACAACAGAAAACATCTTCATGTGCTTCTTCCTTTTATACCAGTTATTGTAGAAACTCTAGCCTATTTGTTTTTTGATCTTTGCATTAAATTACTTTATCCCAGGCACTCCACCACCTCTTTTACTGCAGTTCTGCAACTCACATTTTTCTTTGTTTCTGTAGCAAATCTTTTATGACTACCAGATCACAGTCCATTCTTCTCCATTTGTCAGAAAACAAGTTGCTGTATCATAGTGTCACTAACGAAGCCTTGTTTTGTATCAGTTATGTCCTCCCTTCTTATCACAATAACCCAAGCTTCCCCTATAGTCTCCATGCCTTCCCACTACAATACGTTACCTCCCTCCCACGTCCGACACAATATCCCAATGTTCCGATATTTAGGCCTTCCTGTAACACATCCAGTTCCTTCCCCTTTATTTCCTAACTTTGCATAGTGAGTCATGTCCCAGAGAGTCACAACTCCCCCATATCTCTTGCTTGACTAAGATAATACATAATGGGTATTGATAATATGTATCATGACCTATCATATAACAAGCTGCCCAATACTCATGGCCAGCCACTGTTTCATGGAAAAACATACACATAGCACTGATTCTTCTTTTCCTCATTTGGAATCTAAAGAAGTTTCTCTTTTCTCCCAAACCACTAATTTTCAGGAGAGGTATGGGAATATCATACATCTGAATCCTCTTACTCTCTCCTGAATTGAAGTTAGAGGGTGGATTAAGAGACCGTAAGGTGGGTGAGAAGCTAACAGGTATGGGCAGTGTGATTCTGTAAGCAAATACATTTGCAGAGCTTACATAATTGCTTCCTCTGTCTGTTAAGTGTCATTGTCATTATTTCTTTTTTCCTCAAAGGGACGACTGTAGTGCTGAGAGGCTAATCAGAAACTCTCTTTAATACAGGCAAGGCCACATAAAACTCATACAGTGCTGGCTTTGGCCCCAGCCTCAGCAGTGGTGAGAAATAGTTTCCGCCAGGCACCAGGTCAGTGACCTCTGTGAAACTTGCGCAGTATTTGGGCAGCCAGAAAAATCACAAGTTGTTACTTCATCTTTTAGTCCCCAGTTGAACACTTCCCTCCAATGCCACTTCTAGGACTTGTAGGGACAATTCATGGTAACTGTTACTAGATCCAGCTAAGGTACTTTTCATTTCTTCCTTCCCCTCATCCTGGAGATTGTATAATATGGAGGCACATTGTAAACCTAAACAATACATGTACGTGTTTGTGCTAGGCTAATGGGTTAGATAAAATTTTAGCTCCACTAAAAATACATTTTGTTTTCAAGAGAACCATTAAATGCTAACTTACCTAAACATTGCACTGGACTTCCTTGTCAACTGTACAAACAGAAATGTTTTTCTCCAGTGTTTTCTTGCTGAAGATTTCTGTGAAACACCTAATGAATTGATTTGGAGCAGTTTCAGATCCAAAACTGCATTTTAAATTAATATTTTTTTTAAAGACATTTGAAAAGAGAAGATTTTCTCCCAGTATTTGACTCTCTGGAATCAAATTTTTGTGGAGGTATCTTACTTGCCAATGCTAGCAGGCTAGGAACAGATGAACACTTACATATTTAATCTCCTAATGATAGCTGACATTCAGCTGAAATGCATACAGTAAGAAAAATTGCCAGAAGCCTCACTCTAAAGCTTCTCTTGGATCCCTTAGAATTCTGACTTGTGTCTCACATCCAGCCTTTGGTCTCCACAGGACTATGCAGACCAAATGAAAACACTGTGTGAAAGATGGCATAAGCAAACACCACACAAAATCATTCAAAAGAGTGGTAAAATATTTCCAGATTTTATCTCCCACAGAGTGACAACCCAAAAGAGCCAAATACAGAAACTGACCTCATTTTTCACTCTCAGGTTCTAACATCCAGCACCCATGCACCTTCAACTGACAACTGGCTCCCTCAGATATGGTCTATGGCCACAGGCTGATCTGCAAAAGCACCAGGCAACACTTGGCTTGGCTTCTCCCACAGAACACAAGGATGGGATGTGGCTTCCCAGTGGCACAAATTCTTTATTTAAGCAGAAAAAGCACATCTCCCAGGCCTCTCCTGTATGCTCCAGAAGCAGATTCCCAACAGAAGACCGTGTGGTCACCTCAGAGGCCTTAGTGCCAGCATCCAGGAGAGGCCAGGGCCATCCAGAACAGCTATGTAAAGGAAGGAGTTTAGAGCAAACTTAGAGCAGGACTATGCATTCTTCCCAAGACCGTAGCTAAAGACGTCAATTACTGTTGTGCAGCCCTAAGCAACAACTGGTTATTTTGGGGAGACACCAGCCCAAACCACTCCTGGTGGCTGCAGCCCTTCTGTGTGACGAGCGCCGTCAGTAAAATACTGAGTGAAAGCAGGACACTGAAATACGGACCCCACGTTTCAGGACACGCTATCCCAGTGTCTTCGCTGTGACCGGTCTGCTCTGCCACATACGGTCAGCAGACAGCAAACTGGGGAGGAAGGTGACGGCTCCGGACCCTCAGAACTCCGGAGCGCCGCCTCCCCAAGACCACCTCCCGCCATGCCGCACGCGGGCCGCTTGGCGCAGAGCACGCCGGGAGCTGTAGTCCCGCGGCCGTGCGGCTCCGTTCCTGCGCTGCCGGGTGCAGGCATTTGCGCTGCATCCCCTCCGTCCCCGCGGTGTCGTGGCGGGCCGCCCTGCTCGCCTTCACCGGGCATGCAGGGGCTCCTGCGGCGGCTTCTCCCACCGCTTTACGCGGCGCGGCCGGCGGCGGCCCGCGCCCTCCTCGCCCGGCGGGCTGTACCCGCTCTGCCGCGCCTCATGGCGCTGCGGCTGGCGGCGGGAGCCGGAGAAGGAGAAGGCGCCCACCTCTTAAACGCAGGCGGCGAGACCCCGGAGCACGGTGAGAAGGCGAGAGGGAAACGGGCAGGCGTTTGCGAGGCCCCAGGTTCCGCCTTTCCGGCCGGCTGCGGAGGGAGAGGCGGGGGAGGTGAACCCGGGGCCTCGCAGACTCCTCAGCGCGGTCCTGGCGCCCTCCGGTGCTGAAGGGCAGCGTGTGGGTCTTACGGTTCCCGCGCCGTTGCTGGTGCCCGTTAGGCGTTAAACAGTCACGTTGGGCAGAGCGGCTGTAAAAACTATGGCTTGTATAGGCATATCCAGGAGTCGTAAGGAGAGGGTTCACAGCAGGGGCTGTGCAGATCGTAGAGGGAAATGATTCAACCTAAGTGCGGGCTGTGGCTAAAAAGTCTGGAGTTTGTTTTCCCTGCTTGCCCAGTTCTGTGTCTGGGCTTGCAGTCAGTGTAAACGTTTGACCTGGCCGAATACTACATCTGCAGGTCTTTTCTCCACAAAGTTCTCTGTTTGTTGTTGTTTTGTTTGGTGGTTTTTTGTTTTTGGTTTTTTTTTTTCAACTCCTTCAGTTCTCTTAACAGTCTAAGCACTGGTGCCAGCACCGGAGGTTCAGAATGCCTGGAGAGTAAGACCATCTAAGTTAAATTGTGTTCAAAGGATTACTTTGTTATTAAACATATGAACACAAGCATATTAAACATATGAACATAGAATCATGGAATGGTTTGGGCTGGAAGGGATCATTAAAGCTCATCCAGTTCCAGCCATCTGCCACAGACAGGGACACCTTCCATTAGACCAGGTTGCTCAAAGCCCTGTCCAACCCGTCCTCGAACACTGCCAGGGATGCGGAAGCTACAGCTTCTCTGGGCAGCCTGTGCCCGTGCCTCACCACCCTCACAGTAAAGAACTTCTTCCTCATATCTAATCTAAGTCTACCCTCTTTCAGATTAAAGCCATTATCCCTTGTCCTATGTATAGTATAAACATATTAAACATAAACATACTAAACAGGTAATGGTGCCTGGAGACCTAATCTCACTGTGATCTGTGATGTGTAGGTGTCAAGAAATAGAAGATTATTTGAAATTATCTGAAACTGTAATCTGTGTGGGGGAAGAGGGCCAGGAAGAGGGTGCAATCAAATAGGTTTTATTGTTTCTTATTGTTTGTATTCTCTCCTTTATGAGCTAAGTGTATGAGGATTTTTTTTTTTTTTCTGTTGGAACAGATGACTTAAATACTGCTGAAGGTCAGCAGCCACTTAAACAAATACAGATATGGGAATAACATATGCACCTGTTCATATGTGAAATTCAGGCTAATTAATTAAGCATGCAATTAAGAAAAAGCAGTTTATCTTCTAACAGTTTGATGGTCAAGGAGTTCCTATGGAAGCTGATTTTGTTACCCTAGGTCTCAGATTTTTGAGCAGACAGAGCAAGGTAAACACTAAATCTGCAAAATACACCCCTCAGATTCATAAGAGTCCTTGTTCTGTAGCTGGTGCTACCTTAAAAAAATCCCTTTTGCTCCTAGCTGGTTCTGATTCTGCATTTCTGAGTGGTGTTAATAACTTCTACCTCAAACTGACCTGTTTTTTTGTTGGCTTCATAGATTTCTGTCTTGCCCTTCACTTCAGGATCTCCTCGAAGGAAGGGCTATTGTTTTCTGTATGCAACAATCTGTTTTGTGTGAACTTTAATCTGAATGTTAAATACGAGTTTCATTATTGCTCTAACATGTTTGTTATGCATACTTCTTTAGTGTCAACAAGCAACAAATCTAAATACTTTGTTTCTCTTTAATAGCCTCCAGGGTAAAGACAGGTGTCAGACTACAACCACAGAGTGATTATGACTCCCTGCTGTAGACTGGAGTGAATTAGCATTTGGTCAATTTCTTCTTTTACTTATCTTTCCTAGCATAAAGCAAGATATGCAAGAAACATTCCATAGGATTATAATAACCCAGACTGGGTCTGTAATGTTTATTTTTATATATGTAGTGTAGTTTTGCATGACCCAAGAATATAATATACACTTTTGCTGCCAAATTTTCCCCATGGGCCAGATTTGGACTATCTGCACTGGTCACAAAAGGAGCTTTGAAAATGTGTTTTCTGTAGTAATGAGCTGTCCTGGGATAAACTGCAATTCTGACATAAGGCTTCTTCCACTACAGTAATCCCATTGTGGAGTTGTCCCGAAAGAGTATTGCTAGATGCCTTGTTATGTGCACATTTTTTTGCTGCTAGAGGAGATTTTATTCTTTCATTTTTTAAGGTATAACTCAATATGCCAATATTAGAGTTTACTGATGCAGAAACATGAAGCAGGCTTAAGGAAATGACTCATGCTTAGTTAGTACTCTTGGGGAAAAAAAGACATTTTTAAAAACTTGTTAGTGGAAATTATTCTGTCATTGTGGTATTACTCTGAGATACAACTGCATGCATATCTTTATACATGCGAGATGAAGTTTGATTTGCATTGATTCCTTTTTTAGCTTAAATACTAAAAGTCAGTTTTTAGAGTGAGAAGTTCGGATCATTGCTGTGCGTAATATGTTTTATAGTGTGGGAAATGCAGGGGTAGAATAATTGTCTCGTGTCTATATGATTTAGTGAGCTGAAACTCTTTGTTATATGAGGAGTGGTAGGATTCCCTTCCTGTTCCTTCAAGCCTCATTTTCTGTGTGTTTACGCATTGGAATTAATTTGCCAGTGTTTGTCTGCACTGAATTCATATGCCATGCAGTTTTTCAAAGTGAATGTTATGTGATGTCTGAAGACTTTATTTTTTTTTATGCTCAGTTCTATCATTTTTTTTCTTGCATGTAATTGCTTTCACTTAGAACCACACAAGACCAGAAACTATTAAATTAGAATGCTCAAGTCCCTTGTTGCTGTTCCACATAAAGCAGTATTTTGCTGATATGTTGACAAGGAAGAAGAGAGGCATTCTGGAGGGGCTTATATGTCAATATTTATTTACTGATAATTAGAGAAATATATGCTTGGTATATTGCCTGTGTATTATGTCTCTTCACTGTCAAAACCTAAGACCCAGTGTGTTATTTTAATATATTTCAGGTGGGCTAGAAAATGTACAGCAAAAGAAAATCTTTGAAGAGAATAACAAAGAGACAAAACAGATGGAAGAGCCATGTCCTGCTGATACAGTAGACTCTCTGATGGCGGAAATGCCATTTGTCGACACAGATATTGAGGATAAATTTATTAGTAAGTACATTAAACAATAATGTGGAAGCATAGACACATCATACACACAGCGGGCTGTGCACATGGAACAGAGTCTGTCTGCAAGCAGGGTCCAGTCCAGAGTCTCTCTTATTAGTATTCAGTCTTGCAAATACTGGAGTATATTAAAAATTTACCATTTGGGGATTCATTGCAGCAATGAGTCACAGAACAAAGACACCTTGTATGTCACATTACTGTATGTGAACTTCTCGAGTGATGGCTTTTATGAGCTCTCTTCCAATATGTATATTCCCAACATGGGGCTAGAAGTGCACCTCTATTTAGACAGTGGATATCTGCAGCCTGGTCATCTTACGGGTATTTTTCAGGCCACATGGTGGGAGAGGGTCTGCAAAGGCCTGAGGAAGTAGATAGGAGAAAAATAATTTATGGTGCAGGAGAAGAATTGAGGACACACTTTCACCATGTTGGAAAGTGTCTTTGGGAAAGAAGGTAGAAAATAGATCTGGCTTGGATTAAATTTTCTTCTGGGCTGGGTTTGGTGCTTGAACTATAGGTTGGCCAGTCCTAGTCTAATACAACCTTTTTCCTTAATATCCCTATGTATTATGTATGTATTATGTAATGTATTATTGTGCTTTCTATTTCAAAATGCAGCATGCGTAGGATTTTTAAATCTCAATATTGGCCCTTTTGCTCTAAAGCTATGTCTGTATTCAAGTGTAGACAATTTGGAGGTCCGTTACACTGGAGTTGGCTAAATGAAACACAGTAGTTTGGAAGCTGCATGTTGGTGTTAGCTGCTTGTAAACTCTGCTTAGAAGTGTAGGCTCTTAGTTCAGGTATGCTGTCCCCTTGTCTGACTACAGTAATTCAGGCTGGAGTAGGATCTGCCAGTTCAGAGCATGGGGAGATTAGATGGCTGGCAAGACACCCTCCAGTCAGTTAACTGAAGTCCAGCTCCTGTTGTCATGATATTGTTTTTGTTTTGATTTTCTATATGCTGAAAGTAATTTTTTTATCTCTTCAGTGCACACAACCTCTGAAACAAATATAAAAAAGAAAAGAAAGAGGACTACTGGGAAGGAAATTGAGGAAGACACTGAGAGAAAGAAGAAAAATAAAAAGCAGTATCAGCCAAATTATTTCATTTCTCTTCCAATTACTAATCCAGAGGTGAAATTCTTTATTATACTGATTTGGTATAACCAGAATTATCTCAACAGTTGCATATGTTTGTAGAAGAACAGTGTTTGATCTTGAGCAAAATAGTTTTTTGCAGGTAGTTTTAAAGGAATATTAGAAGCCTATTCAAAGAATAACTTTATATTATGTAAGAGTTTTGTGAATAAAATTGCCTACCTCAAAAAGAGTAGCGGAAAAATATGTTTTTATTCAGTTTGTCAGTCTTATGGATTTCACATTATTTTGCCTGAATTTGTACTGTTCCAGTATTGCCTATTTTGTTGTTTACTTAGAAAAAGGGAAGCATTCCTATTTAATTTAATAAGAAAATCCCTAGCAATATTTTTAGCTCTCCTTATAGATAGGAATTTGGATCTTTTACTGTTTTAACTGGTCAGTTTGTAGCTTAACATTTTCCATCTTATTTAAAATTCATTGTTTAGTGAGATAATGTTCAAATGGATTCAAGAAATACAGAGAGCTCTTTAAGAAAATGTATTTTCTTGTAATAGCATGTGTTGTCTGATTTGGACAGTAAATGAGAATGATTTCTTGCATGCTGCAGGATTTCTGGTACAGCTTTGATACCTTTTGTGTCTGCAAATAAGGAAAGTAGATACATAATGTTAAACCAATCAGTTTACCACCATTTCCAAATTTAGGTGTATTTTTTAATACCAGAAGCTATCTCAAGTGAATTTTAACTCATCATACAGCTATACTATCTGTTCTCTGACAAAGTCAAATATTAAAAAATCCAAAATGAAAATAAACCAACATAGGTTTGAAAATTACACTGCAGTCTTTCAATCTTTAAAACATACTGCGTGAAGAAGAGATGGCAGGGGCTAGTTTCATAAGATCCAGGATGGCCTGACACAAATATTGTGGGAGATCTTTTGTGCCATCTTAGTCTGAAATACCTTTTCTCCATGTCTGTTCCATGATTAAACAAGTGCAAGAATAATGTAGGGGTTGTATAATCTGATTAATTGAGATTTCCTGCTCACAGTTGTTACTATGGCTGGTTAAATGGCTGGTTGAGTGGAAAATTCCTAACTGTGCATGCTTTTTTATTATCATGTACTTAGCCTTATATAATTTACGGAGGTAAAGGAGCAACTATACTGAATTTCAGAGCATTTGGGAATTCCAGGACTTTACTAGAAAGTTTTGTTTATACTTGCCTCCTTAAATGTAGAGTTGTTCTGAAACAGAAAATACATGCTGGAATTTGTATGAGCAGCATTAACCAAAATTTAGACTTAAGACACCTGGTTTCTTGATAGCCAGAGGGAATCTGATAATTACTGGTAGTATTTCAGTTAGTAATGAGCGACCTTTTTTTTTTGAGCATCTGATTTTATTTTGCTGAAGCGTTTTAAGCATTAGCACTTTTTCTTTATATTTTATGTCACATTACAAGCTTTACACAGAGAATCATTTTGTAATAAGGGATGTTTCTGGACCATTTAATGAACTCTTCCTCTTGGAAATTAAGCACTTTCCTTTTTTTTCCCCTTTTTTTCATTTTAATTATGTGTTGAATCTTCAGAAATAAAATGTGGTATACCATTAATTTTGAATTTATCTTGAAATTTGCATTATTACTTGTGCAAAAACAGTTAAATGGATGATTATCGTTGTATCTTTTTCTTGTAAATTTTTTTTATGTTGTGTTTCATCTGATGAAACCACTTGGTCAGTTTGCCTTTCAGCGTCCTCCTGTCTTGCTTATAATTATAATTAATCTGTTAAATCTTTAAAGCTTACAGTCTTTATATTCACTTACTAATTGCATCCTTGCAGTAAGCAGAACTAAGTTATTTTGTTACTCTTCAGAATAACATATGCCAAGTAATGAGAGAGGGGACCTTGAAATCAGAATTTTTAGCCTTATTTTGGAGCACTTTTTAAAATCTGAGGGGGAAATTGTTAAGTATCGTCTGCCTTCTGACATTACTTTAAGTTAGGAAACATCAAGTTAAAAGAAATAGCATGATAGCAGTTGATATGTAACATAACTCTGTAAGGTAATGTAAGTAGCAGATTAAAAAGTAATTTAAAGTTTTCATTTATGCAGTGGGTCATAACTAGTTATACAGAGAAGTTGGAAGAGTCCTGTTTCACTTAATTAAAATTCCGCACACTCAACTGTCAATTGCACCTTAGATTTATTGAAGAAAACAGAATGAATCTGAAGTTTTATTATGCATTATGATGTCGCAGCTAGGCTACAGCTACTGTGTTACATTTTGACAACATAACTTCTGGGAAAACGTATTAAAAATAAATTCCTGAAATTCACCAAAAAATTCTTTTTTCTTTTTTAATTAGTTCCAAATAGTATAGCTTGTGTAGAATAATGTCATTTTAGGCAGACAAAAATAACCTACAGTCTTCAATAGAAATTTTGCCTTTATCAGAAAGGCAGCTTATTTCATACTTTCTTAGTGGGTTCAGCAGTAACTTGTCTCTGAAACTGCTAACTGTCCGTCTTTGGAATTAATCCTGTTCCAAAGATACGTTATTTGTTATGTTATTAGCTTGATTTCCTGGTGGATTTTATATAGGTGTGAACCTGCTTATCTCTTTGCCTTGTTGTAACCCCTCTGGGGTTTTGTGGGTTTTCAGCCTTTACACCAGAACTCATTTATCTGTTAGGTCTTGGCTTATCATGCTTTAAGAAGTAACTCATTTTGTCAGATGGTCAAGGTTATTTATTTAATTTAATTTCCAGTAACATATTCAAGAATTGTTGCAGATTTTTTGTTTTGTTTTGTTTGGTGTTTTGGGTGGTTTTGATTTGTGTTTTGTTTTGTTTTCTGGTCTGTTTTGGTTTTTTGTTCGCTTTTTTTTTTTTTTAAAATCACTACAATAAAACTATTATAATGGCAAGCACAGTTAACATTTTGTATACAGTTTATAAAGCAGGTGTAGCCATACAAATGATTTTCAACAAAGAAAGCGTAGTTCAACTAATTTTAAAGAAAAAGACTGAAGTTTGAACTGTGTACACATTGTATGGAATTTCATTAAAATATGTTTGATGAGAATATATAAATTATATCTGTCTATGGGGTAGTGTAATCAGAATTCTAGATCAGGAATCTCTACAAATTATTACTAGATATTCCTGTTTTGTATGATCCTATGTGCCTGATCCTGAAAAGTGTCTTTCCAGACACATCTGCGCATAGCAGCACACAAGTTTAGCAAAGCAGGCAGAGAAAGTCCTTGAAGAAGCTTTTTATTTGGATTAATGGCAGTATAAAACTGATTGATCTTAATCTTTTCCATGAATTTATCCTACATATGGAAGCAGGCTCCTATTAAGATGTGATGGGGAGTGTCCAGTGATTTATTAATCACTCCATTTGTACCCACTTTGGGTTTACTCGGCTCAATTAACACAGCTTTGTCAGAGGATAAAACTTTCTTCTGCTAGAATGGTTTTTACATAAAAGTTTGATTTCAGTTTGTATGTTTTCTTTTCACTTGCATGATGGGATACAGTAATTGTAACTGCTAACTGTTGTTTCTACCTCTTTCTTCCCAGATTAATAGGAGTATTCAGGCTGTCCAAGATGCAGTAATACAAAAGGATCAAAGATTTTCCAAAGCAATGGTTCACTCTGGCTCATTGCATGTCACCATGTTTGTGATGCATTTATCCAATGAAGAAGAAATTAGCATGTAAGTATTCGGTGTTAAATTATATACAAGTGTTAAATTATAATTATAAATTTTATGTATATATAAATCTATTTCCTTTTTATTTTATTTAAATGATATGTATATATAATTATCAATTATATGTATATATACAGGCGTTAAATTATATACAAGGCATATACAAGTATTCTTGCTGGAGGAGTTCATAAAAAAGGGTTCATAGAAGGGGTAACTGATGGTTATTTTTTGCAATACAGGGCCTTAAAATACTAGGGTTACTGAATATGTAATTCTTGTTGTTCTTAAAATACTAATCTTAATGTTAGTAATTTTCATAATTTGCAGTATGTCATGAGCTCTGAACTAAGTATGAATTTTTCCCTTGCATTTTCCGTATTGTGTGCTGAACTTGCATGTGCAAATCTCGTGTTTGCTAAAGTAATCACTTTAAAACAGTGTTTTGTTGCAAAGCACAATGAGCAGATTATTAGGGGAATTTTCGTAGTTTAGCAAATGTTATAAGCTGAATTAGTAATTGTTGCTGAAAGACTTCAATGAAATAAACCCTAACTCCAAGGTTTTTTTATGCCTCATGCAGTTATAGGTTTGCTTCTTTTTTTTTTTTTAATGTCCCTAAATTACTTTATTATACTCAAAATCTAAGTACACTTAAAAGAGAGGTGGCTATTAGACCTTTTCAAAAGTATAATTTTTATGTTACTTCAGTGACATAGCTGATTTTTTTATCATATAAAATGTAGAAAAGTTGTGGAAAGATGTGCTTATTATTATACAATGATGTCTGTCATGTCTAAGATGCAACTACTTCCTTTATAAAATGCAGTTCTTTGGTTATTTTTTTGCTATTTATCACAGGCCTACTTTAATGTACAAGTTCAGTGGTTGATACAAAGATGTTCAGACTTCTGTCTATACAGCTGTAATTTATAAATGTTCAGAATAATAATTTACGTGTCTAGTTGTAATTTTGAAATGAAAACAAACAGTGTATTTAACAGTCCTACTTTACACAGACTTTCTTGGCAGTTTCTATTTATATGTAGTACATAATGGCATGCATATGTGGTGTCTCAATCTTCACATATTATAATTGCAGAATTGATACTGCAAACACTTTGGTAACTAACAGAATACTATGTGAAGTGCTGATAAATGGCCTACTGGCATTGTAAGAACATCTGGGAATCCTCTATGGCTTATGTGTCAGTTTTGTAGTGAATTGCTAACGAATTAAAATTCATCATATCGTTTTCAGTCTGTGAAAGAGAAGCCTCGTGGTTTCGTCACCCCCAGATGTGTTCTTTCAGGGCCTGTCATATATATGTGTGTGTATATATATATATATACGTTTATCTTACTGGCTTTCTCTGCAGTGTTAGCACACATGTGGTCCATGTACTGAATTACCTAGATAAAATACTGAGTAAGTGCAGTGAGACATTGCTTTGGTTATGGTACAGTTACAAAATAATGTGTCTAATAAGTATATGTTGAATATTTTTCCTTCAAAGGTTTGGCTGTTAAAGTGCAGATTGCTCATAAGAAAGCAAGAATCCAAGACAGAACATAAGAACCATTTGGTAGTCAAGGGCATGCTTCTAATAAGGAGTATTTTAGCTAAAAATATTTAACACACCTAAAAATAATGACATACACCAGTATATCTAAATCAATTGCCCTGCTTGTTTTTCACACTCATTTCCTTGAATGCTATATCCTTGAGGACTCTACCCTGTGAGTATGCAAGTCTGTCAGCAGCCTTGTCTCCGATGGTCTGATCTAAAGGGAGAGAAACAGGCAGCCAGGAACATAGAATGTAAAGGAAAGCAGAGGATATTACATCTGGTAGACTCTCTTCTCTCGATGTGCCTTTTGTCTCCTGGGGTAGACACATCAGCTTCCTCCTGCCCTGCTTGATGAGTTAACTCTAGTAGCACCTGAACATGGGTGAGAACAACCACTGACTGCATGCCTGAGATTTTTTTTAAAAAGGGTTTGAAGCATGAACTTTTTAAAAAGAGAATGTGAGAGGATATCTTGAAGGCAAATATGCCTCCTCATAAATACTTTTTAAAGTCCTAAACTATATCAAACGAAGATTCTCAAATTCAGTATACTTTGCTACTCCTGGAACTCCTTCTCAGCTTTCATTGTCTGACTGCCACCCAAGCACTTACTTATGGAGTTCTTCTCTGCCTCTCCCAGCAGAACTCCACAGTCGAGGCACCCAGGAGTTGTCCTTCTAGTCAGAAGCAGCTTCTCCAGATTCACCCCCTTCCCTGGCCAGATGCCTCCTGTATGCATCTAGCTCAGATATCTTCAGGTATTCTAGACTGCATTTTCTATTAGATGGGATTCTGCTTTCTGTTTAATCTTTTGGGAGAAATTGAAGGTAAAAAAGTTGAATTTTCTTTTATTTGCTTCACCGGTTTTTGATAGCAGGTTAATGAGAAGAAACCAAGATCCAGGCTGGCAAAAGGACCTGTGTGTAACGTAGGCTGACAGTAATCCCTCAAATAAAGTGCAGGTAGTCAGTTGGGTATGGGAGAGTTCACAGATCCTTAGGTTTGGATCCATTGAATTACTTAGATATCTACAGTTTTTCTACTGTACAATAGTGCCTCTGTCTATACAGCAATGAAATGTGTTGAATGCTATTTGTAGTCAAAATGCGTGATAAGAATGTGCTAAACATAACATTCAATTCAGCACAAAGCCCTTTGTATGTGTCGTGGTTTAAACCCAGTCAGGTAATTCGTTCGCTCACTTTCCCCCCCTTTTCTTGCCCTCCCCCTGCTCTCGGAGGGACGGAGAGGAAAATCGAAAAGAATGCAACTCCCACAGGTTGAGATAAGAACAGTTTAGTAACTAAGGTATAACACAAATCACTACTGCTACCACCAATGATAATAATGATAAAGGAAATAACAAGGGAAGAGAATACATCATCTCACCACCAGCCGACCGATAACTCACCCCCCCAGCCCGACCAAGCTCTGACCGATACCTCCTCAAACCCTGCAGTCTCCCGGCCCTTCCGGCTAACTCCCAGTTACATCCTGGGCATGATGTGCTGTGGTATGGAATACCTCTTTGGTCAGTTTGGGTCAGGTGTCCTGTCTCTCCTTCCTCCTGGCTTGCCCTCCTCCCTGGCAGAGCATGAGGCTCACAAAGTCCTTGGCCAAACCAAAACATCCTTGTTATCAGCTCTGTTCCCAAGCTGAAAGTCAAAACACTGCACTGCACCAGCTACCAAGAAGGGGAAAAATGACTGCTACTGCTGAACCCAGGACATTATCCACCCCTTATTCCATACCATTCACGTCATGCTCAGATCCCCCATTTTCAATATACCATCATTCTTATCTTAGTGCATGGACCAGTCCCTATAAAGCTGCTGAGTCCATCTGGTCCATGATGTCAGGCTCCATCTCTTGTAACAGTCTTCCAGAGCAGGAGAGACTGTGTGCAGTGTTCACACTCGTGAATAACCTGGGCAATAGTGTCCATTGCTAAGTCCACCCCTCGATCATGAGTCCATCTCTGTGTTGCATCTCTGCTCTGATGGCCTGAAGTGCCATGGGCCCACCAGGCTTAAAATAATTCACTGTCCCCTTAAGCAGTTTCTGCAGCTTGTTGCTGGGGACTCCATACAGCTGTCTTCCATCTCCGATGCTTCCAAAGCACTGGAGGGGCCCAGTGGACTAGATACTTGCCCATACTGTCCCACACACCCTGCCACTCATGACTGTCCAGCCTTGGGGAAAACCTTTTGGTCCCCCTATATTGTTGTCTAACCCCAGACAAGACCCAAACCTGACTCTGCTTAACTTTTGAGATCAGACAAAATGGTTGTGGGTAGAACACAGTCTGTGTGTGTGCCAACATGCTGATCCCCATCACAATCAGCAGGCAGGTCCCAAGGATGCCCAAAGGCCATTCAAAACCTTCAGAACTCTCAGTTGATGCTGCTGTACTTGTCACTGGGGCTGGTGTAGCTGCTGTGCTTGCCGGCTCTCCCACCGCCAGCTTCTCTTTTCCCGAGTCCAGATCTTCCTCCTCTGCCTTGCTGGGAAGTGCTGCCTGGTCTCCTGCATCCTCCTGGGGCTCGGCGGGCGGCTTCCGTGGAATGCTCTCGGCCGTCGCGGGGCTGGGCTCGGCCGCGGGGCTCGGCTCCTCCGCGGGGCTCGGCTCCTCCGCCGCCTTCTCCCGCTGCTCGGCAGCCGCCTCCTTCCGCTCCTCGAGCGCTCCGGCCTCCCCCACCGGCAGCCGTCCCCTCGCGGCCTCCGGCCCCGCTCCCGCCGCCGCTTGCTCCCCGGGGCCGCTCTCCCGGGCCGCTACGGCTGCCGCCGGCTCCCGGGGCCGCTCCCCCTCGGCTCCCTGCAGCCTCACGTAGACGGAGGCGAGGGCGAGGGCCAGGACGGTGAAGAGCAGCCGGACGGCCAGGTACAAGTCCACGGCCACGTCCGTCCCGCCCTGCTGCTGGAGCCCGCCCGTATTACAAGCCATTGCCATAAAGCACAGTGAGACAACAACCTTAGCCCAGGCCCCATACTTGATAAACACTATCACAGCAAATACCGGCTCTACGTAAGTTACAACATTCTGAAGCTGTGAGATCAAGCGAAACAACTCTGAGAGCCAATAAATCAGCATTGTGACGAGTGACTATTAATCCAGTCAAATCTGTCGTTATCTCAACCCTTCGTGCCCCACGTTGGGCGCCAAAAAGAACTGTCGTGGTTTAAACCCAGTCAGGTAATTCGTTCGCTCACTTTCCCCCCTTTTCTTGCCCTCCCCCTGCTCTCGGAGGGACGGAGAGGAAAATCGAAAAGAATGCAACTCCCACAGGTTGAGATAAGAACAGTTTAGTAACTAAGGTATAACACAAATCACTACTGCTACCACCAATGATAATAATGATAAAGGAAATAACAAGGGAAGAGAATACATCATCTCACCACCAGCCGACCGATAACTCACCCCCCCAGCCCGACCAAGCTCTGACCGATACCTCCTCAAACCCTGCAGTCTCCCGGCCCTTCCGGCTAACTCCCAGTTACATCCTGGGCATGATGTGCTGTGGTATGGAATACCTCTTTGGTCAGTTTGGGTCAGGTGTCCTGTCTCTCCTTCCTCCTGGCTCCCCCTCCTCCCTGGCAGAGCATGAGGCTCACAAAGTCCTTGGCCAAACCAAAACATCACTTATCAGCTCTGTTCCCAAGCTGAAAGTCAAAACACTGCACTGCACCAGCTACCAAGAAGGGGAAAAATGACTGCTACTGCTGAACCCAGGACAGTATGGTATTTTAGTACATACAGCTTTCACCCTGAAAATGGAAGATCTGTATTCCAGGCCACTCTTTCTAAGGGAATCCAGACCTGCAATACCCATGCGAGTTTCCTGACTGATTTGCTGTGGTCTAGCCTTCATGAATGCACTTCACATCTCTCTTTGTAGGACTATATGAAATCAAGAATGTGAGATTTTAAAAACCATAAAGAAAAGCAAGACTCCCTTCAAGCAAAGAAGTTCTAGTCCATGATAACTGTATGCATAGCTATGTGATCAGGTACTAGAAATCAGGATACCTGCCTTTGCAATAAATGCCTTCATTACCAGACCATAGTGTCAAGTTCTTCCTTATATGTCAAAGACTCTGTGAATCTAACCTTTTCATTACAAATATGAGAGCTGGAAGGATTCAGTTTGGCTTTTTTTTTTTTTTTCAGGGTTACTTTTTCTGACACATAATCAAATTTAACAATTCAGAAATGTCTAAAAAAAAATCACTTAGAATTTAAATGCTATAATGTCAACATTGCAACTATACAGAAAAAAAACAGGCACTGCTTCTGTAATCCTAGTTTGTATTCACTTAGAATATTCTGCTTCAGGCTTTTTTTTTTTTTTTTCTTAATTCCCTTTCCCCACTTCGGAGTAAAATGCTTGTAAACTTTTCTGTTAGCCCTGAGGGTTAATTGCACTGAGTGCAACTATTTGGCATTGTAAATACTATTTGGTATGAAACAACAAGAAGATAGCACTGTTGTGTTTGTTACTATTGACTTCAGTGGAAATGTTTGTCCTCGTGCATTCTTAGAAAGCAATTGTTAGATGTTATAAAGTGATCGATAGAATACAAAAGTACAAAATATGCTAGAGTGAGATGACAGCTATTCTTCTAAATATTTTAGTGTATACAAGATTATCTATTAAAGAAAAAGAAGAACTGAATCTTAAGTGACACAGTGCTAAACTGACAACACACTTCACTCTTTAAATTGACCTTTCATAGACCTGGTCAGTGAGTTCTTCTGCGCATCCTAAAGTATGGAAATATAATACTTTGTTCAGCTGGGGATCAGAGCTTTCCATGGCTCTCTGTATACTAGTTCTCAGATGCAAAAAAATCCAGAGATTGGTTTTAGGTGTTTGCATGATTCACTACTTGGAAGCCTGCTGCAGTCTGACGCAGAGTATTTGAAATACCTTTGGAGTATTTGGTTTGGAGCAATTTTCAGGTTCATGTGAATAAATAAACCTACACCTGAGTACCTGAGAACTAATCTGACGGGTATAATCAATATTAGATGGTGGGTTTAAAGGGTCTTGAAATATAGCACATACGGAAGACACAGGAACAGGCTTGTTTAATGGTAATAAAAAGGTAGTTAAGTGGCAGAGATTATGCTGAAAGAAAAATATCTTTGCTAAGGAACAAGTAATGGCATTGTTGTTTAAAGTGGCTATATAGGATATAAAGTACTTGAAGGCTGTAGATTAAAGTCGCATAAAAAGCCACAGGACTACATCAAATAAAGGTATTTTGTCATGTAGTCCACCTTAACGCCTTTCTTATCCTGGCCTAGGTTTCAGTTAAATGCATAGTTCTCATCAAGAGTCCGTCTTGTTAAACACAATGGAAACGTGTGTAGGGTTGTTTGTAATTGTACAGGCTTAAAGACTATAATTTGGCCTGCTTTAGAAATCACAGTGATGGTTTTCATCCAGCTAGGACAGAAAAAGTGAAATAAACTCTCTTGAACGTTTTTAACCTGTTTCTGCCATCTAGCGTTCAAAAAGTGAGTAGGTTTAGTGAAAATTAAATTCAGTTTCTTTCAGTAGAACTAAAAACTGTGAGTGTGTGAGAGCGCTTTAGAAGACACTAAGAATGCTTATATAGTTTTTGCTTAGCAAGTGAATCGCTTCAAGTGCAGGTCAAAACAAATATTTCATGTAGTCATACGTAAACTTAATGTGGCTAATAAAATTATTAAAAAGCTACCAGGCTTGCACCTCTTTCCTAAGTTACATGTACATTATATGTGTGTGCTGCTTATCCCTTAAAGAAAGTAAGCATCAGTTTAGAATGCTACTTCTTTTAATAATCGGAAATTCCTGATAGCTCAGCTGAAAACATTAATGAAAATTAATGAAAAATGTTAATTACTTTAAGAATGGGGCTGCCAAGTAAGAATCTTATTTAAATGAGATGTACAGAGTAATAGAACCACTGTCATTGTAATATGTAGTCATGTTGAGGACTGAGGTATACTCTTTTGAGGAATTACATCTGTTGCCAGGTCTGCCTTATTATTTCTGTGGTTTTACAGCTGGGTGTATGAACTAGTTTACCTTTATAAAATGGTAATAATACTGAGTGCGTTGGCAGGAAGTAGTGCAAAAGTATCTGAGTAGATAATAAATGGATAGTAACAAAACTTTGCGTTTTGTTTTTTTTTTTTTTTTTTACAGAGAATCATAGAATAATGATTACTAGCAATGTAAACAACTTCCAAATATTTTCTTTCCTCTTGACAGAGCAGTTGGTGCTCTTTCAGACAGCAAAGATTTTATAGAAGATCTCCTGAAAGGAAAAACTGTGGATTTGTCTTTTCAAGGAATTCATCACTTCAAAAATGAAGTTGGATTTGTGAAGTTGGCAGAAAATGATCATACAGCTATACTTAGAGAAATAGCAGGTACAACTTGTCAATCTAGTTTAACTGCTTTAAAAACATTTTGGTAACCTAGATGACAATGGAACACAAAGATAAATTGGTGCTAATTTAGTCAACATTAATTTACCTTTAATGTCTATAAGGGCTATGTAACAAATTTCCCAGCATAGTTCAAAAGGATATTAATGAATTACAGACAGTACTGTTCTATGATACTTTTATACTTAGTAAATGTAAAAAACATAGTAGTTGTAGATGGATATAAAGATTATGTTCTACCTTGTTTTGGTCCAAGTACCATCTGCTGTTTCTCAGCTGATATTTGTACCCCTTCCGATTTGCATATTCATACTTCCTGAGTTTGAGAACTGTATCCTTGATATATCTTACCTGGCTTGCAAAGTTACATAATCCTCTAATTTGTGTTTATTCTGAGTCGAGTACTGAAGGACAGTGATGTTCTTTCATCTTCCATGATCTGGGGAGTCTTTTAAGTTTGCGTTTCCTGCATGTTACACATATCCCTCTTAAATCTCAGTCAATTAATTGTGACTTACCACTGTCACATGTGTAAGTGCATATACAGACACACACAGGTGTGTGTGTATAGGTGTATGTATGTACTTTATGCATATGAAATAAATGTAATAATAATGTAATCATAAAATGTACTTTTATACTTCCATATATGTATAAAGTAAAATCTGAGCTTTCTCTGCACCCCTGGAGGAATTGGGGGCATTCAGGAAAAGGACATGACTTGTCTGCCAAAGTTGGATTTGATGCTGCTTTAGCTTGATGATTTTTTTATTTTTTTTTTTAAGCAGCTGTGGAATCAGTCTGTGGCTTGTTCAATATTAATTGCCTTCCTGTAGCAATTAGGAAGTTACTGAAAGATGTGGCAGAAACATGCTACTATGAGAGCAAACCTCTCAGTTCTTTCTTGCCAGTGGAGCTAAAGCTACTGCCTTTGCCAGTCAGATAAAATGCATCCAAAGATACAGTTCAAGTCAATAGGAGTCTATAAATTAAAAGGAGTATAAATACCAGCTGAGAAACAGCTCTCAGTACCTAGACCAAACCAAGGTGGAGTTCTTATCTGTCTATGAGTCTATATACCTAAAGTATGTTGTTTACAGATCCTAAATAAAAATTCTCAGAGAACAGTACTGATTGTAATTCATTGGTGTCCTTTAAAACTATCCGGACAATTCCAAGTATTCCTTGGAAAAGTTTCTTTAAAAGAGTTTTTCAGTATTGATGAATTATCTTTTGTGCTCTGAGGAATGTGAGGTCACACCATTTTTTAATAGTGCAATAACCCATATAGGACATTCTGCAGAGCAGCAGACTGCTGCTGTCACGCTACTTCTTTGCAGTCCAATACAGAGGAAAAATGGGGAAAGCCTTTATTATTAATACAGGCCTTTCTCGAGCAATTCATTAGTTTAATTTCTGAAGTGCCTTTAGAAAATATTTAGTATTTTTTAACTTAGGTTTTAAAGAACAGTTGAAGACTGTGAGCTTTTCAGCTTACTAAATTGCTTATACTGTTATTGGGGAATGCTTTATTATTTTAAGCAGTGCTTGATAGCAGTATGGTAGAAATTGAATGATTGTTAGAGTTCCAGAGAGGCTTCCATTGTCAAATAATCCTGTAATTATTTCCAAGATTGAATCTATCAAGTATTTCTTCAGTCCTTTGGACAATATGCTTCCTCATCCTTGTCTTCAAGTTTGTCTTTAGATTTCTTTGAGGGTGACAGAATATTGTATGTGTGCTGTTCTGTAAACTGAGATAATTAATAAAAGGTATTCCCATTCAGGACCTCTTGTGGAAGGAGATGAATGGTTTTTTTTTAGTGACAGAAACTTGATTTTGAGAAGTTTATAGTTAAGAACTCCCAAAATAATTAATTTGCTAGACATGGAGAGCTAAATATCTTTTTAACTACAGGTAATAAAGGAGTTCGTTATGCGTGACTTTCTACACAGCTGAGACTAGTGAACCAGATTTTTATCAAGAATTAGAAAAGAAAAGATGAGATCAGATTTTGACCTGTTTTTCAGTTTGACAGTCCTTTGTAGACAAACTTGTAGTACAGTTAAAATTTAGCAAACAAGCAAACCTGTGTTTTCTTTGTAAAGCATAACTACTGACACTCACTGGTGAGCATTCTTTGCTTGTACTAGAACTACAGCTGTGCATCATTATTTTCACAACACTGCTGTTTAGTAAAAATGTTTCTTATTTCATTGCTACATTTTGCCAACCCAGCAAAGCATTTCTTGGCTTTAGGCCTGTCCTTCAGTCTCTGCACTTCTACAGTGATGTTTGCTTTCTCTGGCTTTAGTTCTGAAACAAGGTAGGAAGCTGAACATTACCAGGAGAAAATGATAAAATGACTGGAAATGTTTATTGGGCATGACTTTAGGATATGCTCTCTTAACATTTCTTAGTGACTGTTGTAACCTAACTTCCGAATTGCTGCTGATTTTGGAGTATCTTTTTGTGCTTTCTTGGAAGTGGTAATATTATTTCATAACACATAACCTTTGTGAAAGCAAATTCAGTTTTTATATTGATGCTTTTGCCAGAAGAAAAGACTTTACATCTGTAACTAGGTAACACTGAAGGTTATACAAGTGTGTTTCAAAAGTTAGCTTAGTTACACGTCAAATTAGTGGAAAGGCCAGGTATGAGCAGGGAGAAAATGAATGCACTGAATAGTTTCTATGTATATCTTCATTAGATTAAATAGAAAAGCATTTAATGTAAGTAAACTGATAAAAATAGATAATTTCTTATTACATAGACACCCTTCAGGGCAGTGCAGTTTGGAATAGAAAATAATATTAAATGAATCCATGTGAACTCTTCAAAACTGGTGAGGTAAACAACAGAGTCGTTAGGATTCTCTCTCCTCCGCAAGTGTATAACATGTATAATTCCTTTAATGTAAGAGTACACTTACAGAGTTCATTGCAACACGATTTAGTTTGCGTGCAGTTTTTACAAAACATTAGCAGACAGTCCTCTAAGGGCCAAACCTCCCATGGGAAGTGTTGCATTTTGGAGAAAAGAACATATAGTACTTCCTTGGGGTTGTATGTGACACAATAAATACACCTTCCAACATAAAGGATCATATTAGCAGAAATGTGCCATTGAGTTTATTTTCTGTAATACATTTCATTATTAATTCAAAACAGGCTGTATGTCAAAATTATGCCTGGTATTCCTGCTCTGTGGATGGTATCCTGAATAGACAATTTTAGAGCTGCAGGAGAAAATATTGTAAATTCTTTTCTGCTAGGCTGCTATTGTCAGGATCTTTGTCAAAATTGCTATTCAGCTCTTCATCTATACTGTTTTAAGCTTATATATGTTTGACAAATTATCTGTCACGAGTTTATTCTGGCTCCTAGTATGTCTTGCCCTTGATAAAATGTGTCCCTATAAAGCTGCTACTTTAAAACTGAACCTGGCAGAAAGAAAAATATGTACAGTGCTGCCTGCAAAATGTTAATCATTCTGGTGTTGTCCATGGAACAGTAAGGAGAAAACACTTCTGCAGCTGGTTTGATTTCTTTGCAAGACCTAAGTTCAGTTCATTACAGAGTTACTCTTTTGCTACTTCAAGATTATGGTTGGTTTCTGCTATGCTCTAAGGTGAATTTTGACTTCATGTGTTGTGTTCAGCATGAATGTTGTAGGAAAAACATTTGTAACAAGCAATAGAAAAAAATATTAAGTTAAATTAGGTTATTGTAAGAGTCCGTTTAGTTCCATAAACTGTATGGAAGTTTGTTTGATACCAATAGTGTCTGAGTGTGGTACAGCATTATAATGGTAAGTGCATGTTTAACACAATTTAAATGTAAGTTTGCTAGAACCAAAAGTTCAGGAAAAGCAGAGCTAATATGGATCTTCTGTTTGTTGTGATTTGCTAGTTATTTCCCAACAATCCATTAAAAGACATTAGCATTATAGAAGTATCGACCAGAAATAGTGCTAAACAGTTATGACAGAAGTTTGAGGAGTATTTTAATCACTCTTTGTCCAAGTCTTTTTAAAAATCCTGACCTAAAAGCGATGTATACAGTTACAGTGATTTTTTTAAAAGAAGTTTTCATTTCTTGTACTTTGCTACACTACAGAGTATTTGAAGGACTGTTGTGGTTTAACCCCAGCTGGCAACTGAGCCCCACACAGCCGCTCACTCACTCCCCACTGTTGGGATGGGCAAGAGAATCAGAAAAGTGAGAAAACTTGTGAGTTGAGATACAGATAGTTTAATAGGTAAAGCAAAGCTGCATGCACAAACAAAGCAAAACAAGGAATTCTCCTCGCTTGCCATGGTCAGGCATGTGTTCAGCCATCCCCAGAACAGCAGGGCTTCGTCATGTGTAATGGTTACTTGGGAAGACAAATGCCATCACTCTGAACATCCCCCCTTCCTTCTTTTCCTGCCAGCTTTATGTGCTGAGCATGAGCATCATATGGTATGGAATATCCCTGTGATCAGCTCTCTTGCAGCTCTCAGTGGTCTGAGATCAGCTGTCTCAGCTGTGTCCCCTTCTAACTTCTTGTGTACCCCCAGCCAACTTGCTGGTGGGGTGGGGTGAGAGGCAGAAAAGGCCTTGACTCTGTGTAAGCACTGCTCAGCAATAACGAAAACATCCCTGAGTTACCAGCTCCGTTTCCAGCACAAATTCAAAACATAACCCCATACAAGCTACTATGAAGAAAATTAACTACCCCAGCCAAAACCAGCACAAGTACTAAGTGAATTTGGAAAAGGTAATGGATTGTTTGGCTTCAGTTTTCATTTTGGTTATTATATTGTGAATGCTGTTTGAAGCTGATGAAAGTGAATAAGTGAATCCTGTTTTTTACCCACAGATTTGCAGACTTTGATTTTATGGATGAGTGATGCTTGTTATGGCATGACCATGAGGGGGAGCTTGTACTTCATGAATAAAAAAGTTACGTTTCTGTTTATGCAGATAATTATTTC